GATTGCACTTGAATTTCTGCATCCTTTCAAAATGAGGGTTTTGACTTGCTTTACACGTGGTAAAGCAATATACAGATCGCATACCCTTTCCAGAGAGTGGCTAGGTTTTGTAAAATCAAGAGTGGGTGAATAACGTGCAGCTTCCAGTGGCTTTTGGTGATGAAAGCTGCATGTACGTGGCATGTTGAGGCCAGAGACGCTGGCACATCGCTGCATGTACAATGGGAAACGGTTTCAGCAGGGGACTGCTGATGCATTTTGCTCAGAATGCAAGTTGCTCGGACTTCCCTTGACAATAAAAGGAAGCAAATAGCTTTATATTCCTCTGTGGTATAGCTTAAGCTGCTTATTTTTGACAGATGTAGCAATCAGCCATTGTGACCTGAATGTAGTATATCAAAGATTCCTAAAGAAAGTGTCTATTCTGTTGTTGTTGGATCATATAGCCTAAAATTAGTAAAGATACTGTTTTAAAGGGTGTGCGCTGGGGTAAGTAGAAAGTAAAAACTTCTTGGCTACATTCCCCCATAGGAATGTAAACAGTTTTTACTTTAAAATCTGTATTCTACATGATCTTTAGTTCAAAACCATGAGGTGACTGGGTTATATATAACATGTCCTTTTTCATTCTTCCCTTCTCATTTCTCAGCTTAATACAAAGACTTTCCATAAATGTTTTTCTGCTCTGGCTCTGCAGAAGCTCCATCCATAGCCCCACATTCTTTCTAATACTCTTTTTTTTTTTTCTTGACTTTCCCTGTTCCTGCTGTTACTGTAAGTAATTTAAAGAACAAAATGTTTTCACTGAAACGGTTTACCTTGTACCAACTTAATTTTTGGAATTTTTTTTTCTATTACCCGCACCTTTCTCTCCCACACTTAAAATTCATCAAGGGGAGAATTCATCAGACAGGCGCATTGCGAAACCATGTAATTATCAACTATACCCAACAGCAAGCATCGCTGTATCACAGTGGTAATCAAATAGCCTGGCTCCTCCAGGCCTTTATATACTAATTTGTTAGATGCTATTAGAGGATCAAAATTCCTCCAGTCTGATGTAAGTAACCTTTGCCAGAGAGTCTCTGTTGCCGATACACTTGTGCCTTCCTTCCATTTCAGAGCAACTGCTTTATTTTTATTGGTTTGCTTCATGGAGCAAGATTAGCGTCTCCATTCACCTCTTCTTCCCACTCCTCCCACAATATATTCCTGCTAATGAAGCCAAAGAGAAGAGCATTGCTCCAAACCCGACGTGCATGGTGGTGGTAAATGCCACCTTTGAGTCTTTGCATGCAAAGCCCTAAGTGGTTAACACAGGTTGTAACGCTTGTGTCCCTGCAAACAGCTACCTTGTGAGAAAGCGTCACGGTCCTGCATGGCTGTGGACTGCTTTGAGTGCTCGGTATGGAGCCTTCCAAATGTTTTATGAGTTAAGAACTGAAAAATTTTGAAAAAAAAAAAATTATTTTTTCCAACTTGGGCAAACATCTAAATTCTTATAAATGTTCTTCTCAGAACTTTTCAAGCTACTGTCAAATTTTCTCTTCCCAGAAAGCAAAATCTTAACCTAGCTTTTAATATAAAAATTACCCAGCTGTCTCTGTAATAGTTCCAACAAATTGCTTTGCAGACCCTAGAAGATTTAAGACGGGACCCCAAAGCTGCCACAGACGCTGGCTTTTCCTTTTGAGCATTTGAACAGAAACTGAACATGAGTTTTGATTTAATAATGCTCCCATTCACTATTGATCTGTAAAGGCAGGTCTGAGGGTTGCCACGTGCCAGTGTAAGAACCATTGTTGAAGCTGCTGGTGTCGACTCCTCTCTGTGTAGATTTCTTGGCAAGTTTTAAAGCACAAGCAGAAATGTAGAGTCCCTTCACATGCAAAAATTTGAAACTTAGTGCTGGAAGTACCCATTAGTGTTTCATTTTTAACTTCCAGCAGTCATAAGAGGCTACACAAGATTAATTTGATGTTAAAAATAAATACTGTAGCTTTGCAAAGGAGGTAAAAGAAACCAAGTAACATCTAAAATGCCTAAATTTATAAGGCTGAAAGGGGGAGAGGGGGCACAAAACACCACCACCACCCCCCTTCTCAGACTGCCAAAGCATGGGTTGCATTCCCAGACAGTTAATACAAGTGGAGGAGCTAAAGCAAATCAATTTGTCATAATCTTGCAATTTTAATGTCCATATATTTTTGCCTGGAAGAATTGATTACATGTGTTACACGATGCATTAAGGACAGCAGCAATTCTAACTTTTCAGTTCAGAAATGTGTTGTTTCAGGGCAACACTAAGCAGATGATTACTATACCCACAGGAAAGGCTTGGCTGGTTGGGGTTTTTGGTTTGTTTTTTTTAAATCTTGTATTATATAAACAATGGGGGTTTTGGAGTCTGCAGATCCCCTCCAAATTCAAAAGGAAGTACCTGCAAAAGGAGGGGTTTAGTGTGGTCAATTATAAAATTACAGCTCACCTGGCAGCATTTTGGGAGCCCCATGGGTGCAGAATGGAATGAAGCAGTATACTGGGAGGATGTTCTCTATGGCCATAGGTTGTACATACTACTAGAGACAATCAGTTACTAGAGCAGGTCTTCTGGCATAAAGGTTTTGAGTTATATTGATATTTGTCAGTTACTATGACTTTTTTTTTTTTCCCCTTCAATTGCATCATACCCTTAAAAAATGGTGGTAAGTGAGAGATCTGCATGCTTTGGAGTTTGTTTAATCTCCGCTTCAGTCTATACAATGCACAAGTCATAATGTTAACACTTTTTCTTAAAACTTCTTCATTCACGTTCACAACTAATTTGGATTTCAGTTTGCTGTTTTTAATCTTTATTTAGTCTAATTTTGTACTTATTTTTCTGTTGTTCTGTTGCGCCCTGATTTCACTGAGGTTTCGGTCTTTGTCTGTACTGTACTGGGGATGCTTTTCCAGCAGTTAAATGGCTGACCAGGATAGTAACGCACAGAGAAATTTTCCTCAGTCTTATTTTATCTCCATTTAGGTTATAGATGGGAAAGGGGTGAGTGGTGGCGATCCACCATATAAGCTTAAGTATTCTAATAGGCATTTTTGTTGGATCTTTGTTAGGAAAACACCCGATGGCAGCCTTTATAAATGTGAAGCTTTGTTGGGTTTTTTGTTTTGTTTTGTTTTAAACACACAAAACTACTTATCTGAAATAGGCATCTAAATATTTTAACAGAGAAAGAAAAATGGTTCTTTTATAGCGAGAGCTTGTATCTTAACGGTGCAGTCTGATATTTCTGAAGTCCAGCCAAACAAACTCTCAAAAATGTCAATTATGCTTGTTAGAAAGCTGAGATAACAAGAGTCTTAAAGCAGAATGGCATTGGTAGCAGTACTGATCTGGGGGTGGGGGAGCGAAGGGCTTGCTGTCTGTCCGAGGCTCTTCCCAGCCAGCGTGTGGAGTGCAAAGCGCAGCCTGCTTTAAGATCTTTTGTGAATCAAAAGATGTTTGTGGAAGGAAGTTCTAGATTTACTGTGCTTTGTGTTTCAGTACCTGATGTGTCTCTGTATATCTCCACTGTATATACAACAGCACATTGATGTCTGGTTGTCCTTACTAGTCCTAGTTCTCTCTGTATCTTGTCTGATAGTGTACTGTTGCTGGTAATGGACTTCTGTGGACACTGGTGTGTCGCTAGTGTGTTATTTTGGCTGTAAAGCTCTTGGTTTGTGGTTAGTTCTTTATTTTTTTGAAGTATTTTTTTGTTCCGGTCACTGTCTGTGCTAGCGGTGGCTTTGCCTATCCGTTGCCTTCAAGGTACAGGTGGAGTAATGTCCCCTTTGACTGACATTACTCCTAGCGTGTGCTCATGCGGATGCCTACACTGTTAAGACTGTAATTTCCATAACTGCTTCATGTGCACTAAGCACCCTTGTGGAATCCTGCTGAGAGTTTCTTAAAGACTTCAGTGAAAAATCCCTCCAGCGTGAGGTGGAAACGGCAACTGTCAAGTGCCAAAAACATCAGGTACTGAATTGGTTCCCCCAAAATACTTCTACAGGAGCATTAACTTTCTGGATTGATTTTTGTAGTGCTGTTTAAATGCAATTCTGTCTTCTCTACTGCAGCTTGGGAGCAAAATAAGGTGTTTCATAATTAAAAAAAAAAAAAAGCACATTCAATTGGTCACGAAAGAGCGAATGCGAAACATTACTCATTGGCAGATTTTTTTCCAGCTCTTAAAAGAGAATAGTTTTGCCAAGAGACACAGGCAGAACAATGCTGTCAGTCTTCTGTAGCTGAAGTCTGTTGTGTCTGGAGGTATTACAACACCCCTAACTTTCCCTGTCGTTTTGAGCCCTGGGCTCTGTCAGGCGCACACACAATGCTTGCTGCTGCCCAAGGACTACGTTTGGGTACTTCACTCAAGTATTGCACCTTCAACCTCCTCCTAACCTGGTCCATTCTAATTAGACATTGAGAAAAATGGAATATGTAGAGGTCGTATCATCCATGGGGGAAGATGAGTATACGGTGTATATACTCTGTTGTGTATATACCAGTAATTACCCATCAGCAGCTGAAGAACAGCTTAAAAAAAAAAATGTATATTAAAAAAAAAAAAATCAATGCAAGAAAACAACCAGCAGGATTTTACAACTGAAACGTTGGTTTGTCTTCTCATCTATTTTTTATGAGATTGAACCACTGGAACTTGGGGACAAGATGAGTCTGACCATATTGCAACAATCTGTCCGCTACAGTTGCAGTTCTTCATGACAAGCATTCAAAGTGTTAACTAAAACCATTGAAGCAACATACCTGCCATTAAAACTTGAATCCAGAAAAATAACTCCATGAATCTTTGCACTACCAAGTGGAATGGCCTTTAACGCTGTAGATAGATTGGTTTGCTGTTTGCAGTTCAGCCGGTGTGGTGCAAAGACTGACTCACTTTTTCTTTTCTTTCCTTGTCTTTCCCTGGATTGCATCGGAATTCTTGCTGCAGATGATGAACCAGCTGGGCCAATGTAAGTGCATTTTAAGAAAAAAAAAAATTACTGCGCTTAATCTGAGGGTTTATGAGAGGTTGCAGTACATCAGGTTGATATTACGTGCGACATTACTAATGGTATTGGAGCCTTTGGTTTGCTGTTAGCATTGGTATCTGTGAGGTCCTTGCTAGAAAAACAAATACTGCTGGAGGAGTTCGAAACAAATACTTGTGCTGAAGCCACACGTGGTCTCCCCGACTGCCTCATGTAGCCAATTTGATACACTTTTTACAAATATCATAAGCAAAAACAAACAAAAAAACCCCTGCTTCAGTTGTAAAAAGGAAGCAGTAAAACTAGGAAACAAACTGACAGATGTAGGAGGTGAATTGCACTGGGCAAGAAGGTGGCAAGATACAAAGTCTAGAAGTTGTGTTGCCCTTAGCCATTTAGGAGGAGGAAGAATGAAATGCTGTTTGTTTTTCCTATGCTTGTGACTGATTTTGGTGCATTTTTTTTATTCTTTCTTTCTCCAGGAAAACCAATTCTACAAACAATCATAAAGATAAAAACTTACGCCAGAGAAACACAAATTAAAAATGCTTATCATGTAAGTATGACTCGCACACATCTCAAATGGTCAGGCTAAAGTCCTCCTTTTTCTGTAGTGGTTGGGGTGTGTAAGCGTAACTCATTCCATGTATTAAAAAGTGACCAGCTGCTCAGAGGATGGCGCTAGCCTTCCTGCTGCCACGTTTCAGAGAGCACTGGGGGTTAGCACAAGATTTTTTTCATAAAATATGCAGGTAGTTAATGATCCAGTAGCTGTCGAACTCCACATAATCACTACTCTTGCTAATAAAAAAAACCCCAAACCTTTCCTCATTCAGTCTTAAAATCTGGAAGCTAACCTTGGTTGGGAAGCTTTTATCTTCATTTAAGACAAAAAACAGATGTTAAGCGCTTTGATTGCACATTGTTATGGCACGTGATGTTGAAAATGCTGCCAGGCATTGACTAGCACCTTTTCTCATTTCTTTTTTAGAGCTTTAAGTTTCTGAGAGACTGATGGCAATATGACCTGCTAAATTTAAGGGTTGGAACTCTTGGTTCTAGAACTCCAGTTCTATCTTTTTTTTTTTTTTCTCCTCCTTTTCAAGTGAGCAACAATATGACTGTCTAAAGCATGCCTTATTTAGCCTCTCCTGCAAGGATGACCTAGCCAGATAAATTTTAATAATGCTTCAGTGTAGAAGGTGTAAACTATTTTGGGCTTGATGTGCTGTGAATGTTGCTTTTTTTTTTTTTTTTCTCCTTAATCTATTTAAACATTAGAAGTAGTAAGTCGATTCACGCATGCGCCATTTTTTACTTCCTGTAGCTGTTAAATTGGCAAAGCTCTAAAACGCACTGCTGCCATCTAGTGATACTTTTTGTAAAGTACAGCAAAACTTAAAAATATATACAGTATATATTTATATTTGGGGGGAGGGGGAAAACCAAAATACAGTAATTGTGTTTCATTTTTAAGCTGCTGATATTCATTCCTTACTGTATGTGTGAAAGATGAGAGAATTATACTGTTCTGGTACTTAGAGAAGTAATATAAATTGAAATTATCTTAAGGGCTTAACCTATATAGAGAGACTCGGGTGTCCTATAATCAGACTTCAAAAGCTGGAATGGCCTGACATGGTGGTGGTGGAATGCAGTTTGAAAACAAAAACAAAACTTCAGTTTATAAATATATATATATGATTGCTTTTTAAGTGATTTTTTTTTTTTCTTTTGTTAACTCATGTAAATTCTCAAATCCTTTTGCACTGATGTGTTCAACATATTCTTGTACATTCAATTCAGGCAAACTTTTATAATTTTCTTTTTTTTTTTTTTTTTTTGTTTAAATGATGAAATGTTACAGCATGGTGATATTCTATGCAACTAGTTATACTCTTTAGTTTGACACTGTAATTTCTCATGATTTAAAGATTGTAGAAATAGACCTAACAGGGTTCTCATGATGTGCGTAACTGTAGATGCATGAACTTGTGTTCTGTGTATTTGTTGAAGTGCAATGATGTATAAAAAGTGGATTCACCTGTTTTTAAAAATAAAACACTGACAAAAAACAGCGTGAGACTCTTCAAATATTTAATCACACTTAAGCTTGTGTATCCTGAGTGCTGGGTATCCCCTGGAGTGTGTATTCCATTGGTAATAAGCTGGTGTTTGGTATTTCTCAACCTTCCACAAGTTTTTTCAATTCCTTCTCCACATCTTCCACAAAAGCTGGGAAATTCTGATCCATAAGGCATAAGCGAATGAAGGGCCTCAGCTCTTGTGCACGCCACGCCGAATGCTGATACACAAGGGGGAGCTCAGACTTCTTTTTCAGCACAGACTACGAAAGTAAAAAAAACAAAGGTGTTGCACTAGTCTTGGACATAAAAGGTAACATTACAGTGTTTTTGTAACAATGCAGCAACGTCAAAGTTTTCCTTTGGTATTTAATAAAGATGCATCTGCCTCATTATTAATGCTGTTCGAATACTTCCATCAGATAAGATTTCTGGAATCGTGTCTGTAAATTTTTTTCTCTGACACCTAGCTTCAATTCCAATGTAGCTTTTATGGAACTTTGAATTCCTCTGCAATTATTTAAATCAGAAATGCCAATTGCCTGGTAACATGGCTTCCTTGTCAATATCCATTCTGTGGAAGAGAAAAGGATCCTGTAGGAAGCATATGTATGGCCACTTGAATTGTGTCAGAATAACCAAATATGCAGTTCTAAGCTCTTAATTTAGCAAGATGTCTTTCAGAAGTTAATTATGGGGCTTTTAAAGAGTTAAAACATTCTTTTCATGCCCATTTAAGCCCTTCCCCCAGGTTTTTCCCTTGGTGGGTGAGCTGTGTGCATCATGTTGCTTTTTGGTGTAAAACTAGTGGCAGCAGAGCAGAAGATGCACAACATCATGTCCTGAGGTTGAGGAAGCCCTGACCGCCTCCCAGCGTACGTATGTGACGCTGCTGCTCTCGTCCATTAGGTACGCTAGAGAAATGCGCAAGTCTAATGGACCGGCAGGTTATTGGGCAATTCCACGCTGCTGTTCCTATGACAACAAGCTGAAAGCAGCTCAACTAAAACTTCATTGTGGCCGGCTGCCAGCTTTCCTGCTGGATGTAAGCCACGGTAAAGAAATAGTAACTTCACAGTTCAAAGGCCCTACTGCAGCCAGGGCTGCCGCTCGCTCTAAACCACATTGTTTGTAGTATGTGTTAATGACTGAGTGTTTGTACCAAAATGTTTCCATGTTCAGGCTGCAGCTGTTCTATAGACCTCACCCCCCACTCAGCCTTTAACTTTCTTTACCTGTCTGTGCTGAAGTCATTAAAACTGCAGCATCAGTTACGGATGCTTTGCATGGGAGAGCAGAAGCAAAGAAAATCACCAACACTTACTTTGTGGTGAGGTAAGTATGATGTCCAGAGGCAGCTGGTGATCAAGGTGGATGGTTCTGTTATTGGGGGGGAAATGCCTAATGCTAGTTAGTCTGTATCTGGCTTTAAAAAACTTCAGATGCCCTACTTTAGCCTCTTTTTTGACATGCTGATACGAGCAGCACAGGCTAAACCAAGCCTCTCTGTCTGGGAAAGGTGGCATTGCTGTTAACTTCAGTCAGGCATTAGCTTCTGCTGCTTGAACCTGAATCAGTGCAAGACAACTGGCAGATGGACCAGGCACACTGACAGCTGGGAGTGTAGCTGTGTTTGACTTGTGGGGAGCAAAAAAAAAAAAAAACCCAAAACCCCACACCTTAATATTTTTGCTAATCTCATTGTTGGTTCACGTTGCACTATTGCTTATTTCCTGGCGGAGGAAAAGATCTTTAAAGGTAATGTTAAGTATCTTTTTAAAAAAATCTGCAAGAGAGTGCTTAAAACCAATGCTTCTGCTAGCGTCCTGAAGTGGTGACAATGGAGAAATTTAGTTCCAGAGTACCAGCTGAAAGGGTGTTTCTAAAGTGGGGAAAAGAAGTTCAGCCCTGAGCAAGCTTTGCATGGCAAGCGTGTGGGCCAGGGCATGGGAGATCCTAGCTGGGTTAAGCTGACTAAGAAGTAGAGGGGCAAGTAGAGGAGGATGTGGGAAACTACTACATCAAGGAGTTGTCTTGTGCTGGGGAATTTGTTAGTAATTCAAGCGAGGGATGGATAAATATGTACGGCAAATGCAGGCCTCACTGGCAGAAAGCTTTGTTTGAAGCACGTATCATGCTCCCATCTTACACAGGGACCACAGAATAACAGTTTTTAGAAGCTAAGCTGTTTATAATGTTGGTTTTAACTTGCATTTCCTAGTACTACCTCTTAAAGCAGAGACTGGTCATGGAAAATACAGTTGCTGAAGGCAAACTGCCCCTTGTTTGGCTGCTCATGCTCATTGATGCACTCTCGCTGTGTTGTACAAGGACGCTAACAAAACTGTTGGGAACCAACCAGCAGCACACGTAATACAGCACTCACCACTGAGAGTATAGGGAACTCTGCTTTCTGAAAAGAGGTGTTTAAAAGGCTTTTTTGGGTTTAAGAGATGACAAGATTTGTAACAGGGAGGATAGGAATTATCCTTTGTACCACTGATGTGAAGAAACATTGACTTGATCATCCTGTGAATATGGAAAAAGGGTAAGGAAGACCCCTAGAAGCAACTGCACAGCAACAGAGATGGGCAAGAGTAGAGTTTTCTCCTCAGTCATCTGATTCTGCACTGTCCCAAATTCACAGTACACAAGCAACAATTAACTTCCAGTTACTTTTAAATATGGCTTTACCCTGGACATCACAGGGAAGCTGTCAGTTGCATTAGGGAATCTTTTGCTGTGGGTCAAGGAGGATTGATAGTTTCAGATTTAAGCTATGACGGCAGAAGTAATTTCTTCAGAGTCGAAAGAGTGACAAAGCCATTTATTTGGATGTGACCTCTGGGTATTGTTTGCTCTCAATGTGTGGTTTGTTCTTATGCAAATGAAGTAATTACACCATGAAATACCTGGCTTTGCAGCTTATTTCCTAGCTCCAGATCATTACACAAGATCCTGTGGTTTTGTTGGTATAGATGATGGCATCCTGATGTTCAGGGAAGTCATTTACCAGATGTTTACTGAATATGAGATAGCTTGCTTTCTCTCCATGCCCAAGAGATTAGTTATAGGATCTAAATAATAGATGTGTAGTTTGGGGTTGGGTTTTTTTTCTTTTGTTTTGGTTTTTTTTACCTGCGCTAGCTGTGTTAGAGATCTTCTTTCTCCAAGGCTTGTACAGGAATCTGATAGAGGCTCATCTGGCTACAAAATACCAAATGCAAATAAGGACTTGTTACCAAGCAGAGTGTGGGTATGTGCAAGAAGGGAAGTAGTTCCATTTTTAGAGATAACGGGAAGAGAATGTGCTCAGCTACCTTATGCAGTAAAAAGGCATCTTTTTATGGAACGTGAATGCACATCTGCTCAAGTCTTTAAAAATGAAAGACATGAAATAATGGGCCTGTAGTTAAACTGTCATGTCTAAACTCAGATAACTTTTAAACTACTTACTGGAAGTAACTAGAAAACGCTGTGTATGAGTGCTCCCTACGAGCATGCTTTTTTCCTTCCCATGGGTCACATCACTGAAAAGATGGTTTAAGCTGTCAATTCTATTTTCTGAGTGAAGTTTTCAGTTTAACTTCTGGAGCAAGAGCATTTTTAATACCAACAGTATGACTATTGGTGTTCAATAGCATTCTGCCATGAAATATTTTCTTTGCCTTTCATTCTTTAGCTTATGAGGAAATGAGCAAAGCCCAAAGTATAGGTAATCTGCTTAAAGAATAAACAATAAATCTTCAATATCAGCTGTTGAAGGTCTCCCATATGCCTTCCTGGAAATGGTGTAAGTTAAATTACCAATATATTCCCCCCCGCCCACTTTCTCTACCAAATATGATTCCACTGTCCAGTAGAGTAGGACCTTCCTAGATTATATCATGAAAATGATGTAGCTGAAAGCTTTGACATTGCTTTTTCAGGGCTCAGTCTTGGTCCTGATATTTTTATCACGTATCAAGAGCTTTACTGGCTAAGTTAGCTGCAGGGATGTTTTTTAGAGCTGGTAAATGTGATCCTCTGGATACCCAAGAGAGCATACGTTTAAGAATTAGTCACCCTCAGAAACAGTATCTGCCTTTGCCTTTTCCATTTACCTTAGGTCTTTGTTTTGGAGAGGGGAAACATTCTGTTCCTACCCTGAAATCGCTTTTAAATGTGTCAAGTGAAGCTCAAATTGGTAGAATTGCATATTTACAATTATTAACACTAAAACAGGAGTAGGTAAACCCAAAAGGGAGGACACAATCCATGGTTACTTAAACAGCTCTAATCCTTTTTCTTACCCTGTATAATTTATGTGAAAGTCTGCCAGGTTGTTCCCAGCAGTCTTAGCTGAAATCCACACTGATGAAATTCTGGACATGTTTTTTTGGTAACTATTCAGCTCTTGTCTTCTGCCCCGTTTTTGTTCATTTACCTCAGCAGAAACCATCTAAGTTTTCCATCAAACCATACCACCATCTGATTGGGAACTGGTAAATAACGCTTGGCTGTAGTGTTTGCTGCAGTTTCTTTTAATGGTTAGTAACTTCCTATGTTCGCCTGAGCCCTGCATAAATTGTTCTCTTGTTTCCAGGCTCCCTAGTTAAAGAGAAGTTCAAACCCCAGAGCAAAGCTTTTTTCCCCACCTATAAATCTCATTCCATATGCTTGCTAATATTCTTCCTATGATCACATGAAATGTATATATTAATTTTGGTTATTAGTGACCTCTTGGAGGCCAAAACGAAGGCATCTCACTGCTCTGAGGTACGTTACAATAAGCTTGAGGAGCTAGAACCACTTTTTTGAGCATTTTTCTGTTAACTTTCTTGAGGTACACCAAGAAATTGGGAAGATGGTAGCCAGCTTCAGCAGTTGACTTCCTGAATAGCTCTAGCCCTGTTCACTAACTAGGTTTCCCTGGGTGTAAACTGAATTTTGGGTTTCCCAAATTGTGTTTCATATAGATGGTCTCATAGTTGCAAAAAACTTTCTTCAGAAGTAAAGCTTGGCATTTACAGATCTAACACAAATAGCCGATTATTTTTCTGTCTGTACGTTCTTGCTTACTTACTGTATGTAGTACTGATGCATTTTGTTCAGTGTCCTTTGCTTGATTTTCACCATTAGCCAGCTGATTGAGACTGTGATAGAGCTTCTGGCTTTGTTCATCAGTTACTTGAACTGGTATGTACTCTGCAAGTTTCTGAACGCAAGTGCAGCAGTGTTCCAGCATCTGCTCTTTTGAATCTCCACCAAACTGAACACGAAACATGCGGCATTCATTCTGCTCAAAAACCAAAAAGAGAAATTAAATTAACTGTGAATCCCCTCAAACTATTTTGATTTAATTAAATTCCTATTTGTTAAAGTTAGGAAGAAGGCGATAAATTTTCAAATCACTGCACCAACTTAAAAACAAACAAGTTTTCCCTGCTGTATCTTCATTTTTTTTCCCAGCAGCTAAACCAGAAGACTATGATTCCCAGTTTGAAAATCAGTTCAAAACAACCCCAAGAAAATGGTAAGTGAGCAGGGCCATTTGTCAACTAATTAAAGGTCTAGCCAAGTGAACAAACCTTGCCATGATGACAGAGTTTTTACACGTATAGCAGGGAAATTAAGTTCTTATTGTTGCTGCAGGTAGTATCCTCTAAGGACATGCCAACTCTGAACAGTTACTTGTGACAAAAATTGAAATGACACTAAAGTAAGCAGAAGTTAACTTTGGAATCTAAACTAAAAGCTCTGGGAACTGAATGTTCCATTTAGGATTTTTGTTCCTGTCTGCATCAAACCCAGCCTTACCTACCTACCTCGTCTGCCTGTGTAAACATACAAATTCAGTTTGGCACTCCAACTGAATGCTGCTGTTCCTTGAATAGATGCTAACACAGTTGGATTAGGAGTGCAAGAAACTCAGATGCATTACTTCAAATAGTGAAATAATGCTAAAAATAAAACTGGATAGCTCTGACTCCCCAGTATATGTTGTCAGGCTGTACCATAGTAGATATTTTAAGTACATGAGGTCTAGCAAACTGCACTGAAAAAGGAGGACTGAAGAGTCTGTCAGGCATGATAAGCTTGCCCTAAGCTCGTTCAACTGGCATAAGGCAGATACTGAAGGCTCTTTTAGAAAGAGCCTTGTTTAGAAAGTGACTTAATGGGACTTTCAGTTTGATCTTGAAATTTCAAATTTAAAACCCAGTTGAAGTACTAGAAAAGTTTTCCTTAGACCGACCTAGCTTATTTGAGTCTTCATCTTTCTGGGATTTCAACATCAAAACCATTTTTTTAATGACTAGACACGCTGCTAGCCTGCTGATTCACAAATACAAGGATATCTTTAAAGATTTTTTTTGTCTCAAAGATGAGCCAGCTCTTATGACAGCCTGTATGTTTACATGCATGTTATTTTAAGATGCTTGTATTGCATAAAATGATTTTTAGAGCATTATAAGCATAAAAGCTTGTCTCAGCGCCTTTTAAAGGGAAAAATGTCAAAATAATTAAAACTATAGCACTCGCTTTACCAGTGCCCAGTTACATTTCCTCTAATTAACTAAGATGTCAGCTTAACTGGGTCAGCTTCACATAACTGAGAAATGATTTGTGGATATGCCAGACAGGTGACTTCTCATTAAAATGACAGAAAGGTAACTTGCATCTTAATTTGAATTCCTTTTGGACACTTTCAAAGAACACTTGTTTTAGTTATCCCTACAATCCCCAAATCAAGTTTCAGTCTGAGCTATTTGTATTGCCCTCTGCTTTTTCACAAGGACTGGTACATACTTAAGACTGCAGTTTATAAACAACAGTAGACTTTGTAAATTAAACATTTTTCCTTTATGAAAAGAGAGAGAGCGCTCAAATTCAGCTAAGATGATGTCAAGTTTTAGCATGAACTGAGTACTGGGCAGTAACATCTGAACCATACAAGAGCTGAAGTATTAGAGAACCTTGAGGTCACTTGGATCATCAAATTTGTACCTCTTCCCATGCTGGGACAGAGGGCCAAGCTCAATGAAAATAGTGTGAAGGAAAATGACTTCGTACAAGAATATTAAGAACATTTGTCTTGCTGCTGTTTACAGATAGTTTCATATAAAAATTGTTATGCATAGAGGCACATCAAAGACTATTGTGAGATAAGTGATAACTAGAGATGGAGCTGTATAAAGGGCAGTCACAGCCACACAGCTGTTGCTTTCAGCTAAGTTTAAGACAGAAATGTGCATCTGACAGGTATGGCTTCAGAATCAGACACTCGTGTGCTTCACAGAATAAAATTTCCACTAGTACAGCTGAGTTTCAGTAGTGATCCGCAACAGGTATCGTCTCTGTTTCTTGTTCCTTTGAGTATATTAACACTAAGCTTCTCAAAATACAGTTTAGAAACTCATTCTGCTAGCTAAGAGTCCACAGTGCCCTATTAAAATCAGATTTCTTAAGAAATGAGTAAGTTTCACTATAAATGCAATATTAATGACTTTCAAAAAACAAGTACAATATAAATCAGAAATAATAGTGTAATTTTTAGTTGCCCATGTTCCTTATTTGCCCTGTGCACTCATGTAGGAGCTGGTTTCTGAAAACCTAGCTTGCTTTCCTCTGCTTAAATGGCTTCTGCTTGACTCTTTCCTTAGGTCTAGCAGGGTTGAGATGTAACCCCTTACACGGTGTGGCTGGCTTCCTGAATTTAAGTATTTTTGAAGATTAGCATGGAAGTTATATACACTGACCGCATTTACAGAATCACTTCAGATACAATTTAGGGTATAAAGTAGAGAAACTGTACGATAGGACCACTGCAGTGCCACTAAATCCAGTTTGTCATATGAATTTAGGGTAAGTAAACATTTAAATGCACTAAATTAATTTAAGACTATGTTAATATTCCTCCTTTTCTTAACTGGCCCTCAGAGCTTTGTTCAAGCCTCAAAGTGATTGTGATGTTGATTTTGTGTTTCTTGTGAGATGCAGCAGAATCCCTTAACACTGCTGGGGAACTAGTTCTATTAACTGTAAAGGAAACTGATGATCTGATTCATCAGAACTAATTACTGCAACAGCTTGGTAGTCTTCTTCAGTGATATTCCACATTTTTAAGAATCTGACAAATAAAATCAGAGAGCAAAGGTGTTTTGGTTTCAGGCAAGCATAACCCATGAATTTAAAACTGTTGAAGATATTTATGCAGTTCCTAGTGCCACCATTAGGCTAGGCTTACTCTGAAACAAGATGAGTCCTTATATTTAAACAATGTTTATTAGGCCTCACATCTGTTTTCATCTTGCAATCAGCAAGGCATTCTCCCCTCTGCAAACTGTAGTGTTTGGTTTGCAACATCCTATAAAGAAATATTTATGTGTCTTTCATAAAAAAAAAAAAAATCAAATAAAAGATCAAAATACAACTAAACAGGAATTTTTAGAGTTTCCAGCTATTCTGGATACTGCCATTACCTGCAGCTACAATAACCCAATCTGTACCAGAGTTCCTGTCAGGGGAGAATGCTAGAACATCTCAATGCTTGAGATGTTCTTATGCCTTTATAGTTCTGTGAACGGGGCAAAGAGTTAAAATTGGTCTCTAGCAGCTACTGAACAAGGGGCTCATATTTTTCCAGAATTCCTGTTTCTAACTTAGAGATGAATTCTCTTGTCAAGTAGAGATAGTTAAACTAGAGGCAGCTGTTTCTGCTGAAAAAAAGCCTAGAAACTATCAGGGGAGAAGGGAGAGCTCTTCTCATTTTGAAACAGGTTTTGTTTCTGAAAAACCTGGTGAGTGCTCAGTGTAGATGAGTAAGAAACTTCTCAGAGTTCATCTAAGAACCAAGAAAACTGAGATATATACATAAGCTGGTAACAAGCAAGTGCCATTTAATTACTTAAAGGCTAATCAACCACTTTTCATGAGATCCCAAGATGAAGACCAGAAACCTAGGTCCTTTTCATTGCCTTGAATACCAAATGCCTGAATCACCAGCCTGCCAGTACTGTGCCAGGTGTCAGGGACCACAGAATGGCTAAATAATTGTTTAGATGCTTTGTTTGCCAAAGTGAAGTATGACTCATAGGTAGCATGCTTCTGTACATGTAAGAGAATCACTTCATCTTTTTAATTGTTAGCCATGGCAGATAAATTCTAAAATAAACACAGGTCTAGCTGTTTTAGTAGCTAACGCTCAGAAAGCAGTCTAAAAGACCTGAATAGTAGCAGTTACAAAAGACATTAAAGATGATTCAATCCATTTTTGTTTAATACCTAGAGTAAAAGCAAATCTTTTAATTTATGTAGAAAATTTACAGTATCTCAGAACTTCTGGTTTAATTTATCCAATATTAAGAAATCTTATACAGAACTGTTAGCTATTAGAAATATTAAAAGCAACTCAACTTACCTTTGACTGTGCACAAAGCAGCAGGCAGTTTGCTCTTCTTACTATCTTTAGCCACTTGTGGGAATCAATTAATGAAAAGCCTTCCTGAAATAAAGCAGAACACATACTGCTTGCATAGCAAACATGTAACACTCAGAAGCACACACTTAAGTTATGTGATGTAATCTAAACCCTAATGAAGATTAGTCATCTGCATATGTGGAACTTTTGTATCTGAACAATTGCCAATATGTAGTTTTTACCAAACTAGGCATTAAATCTAAATCTGTAGCTCCAGTAACAATACTATGTCAAGGTACGTTCTAATTTCCATATACATTTTACATTTATATTTGTGCATGTTACAAAAGTCTCCATGAAATGCATAATAAAACAGCTGCAACACTGAGAGCTTTAAATTCTTCTGCATCCCATGAAGTTGCCCGAGAGGGCAGCAGAGGGCAGGCAAACCTGAAAAATGGGACAGCAGTTGGTTTATCTAAGGCCCAGAGAGGCATTTTCTCCAGATGGAATTCAGGTAAACAAGAAGCAGCTTTGATAACTCGATAAAGATGTTTTTATACTCCAGTTGCATTAACTGCCAGTCTCTTCAAACAAGACAGACTGCTCAGCATTCTGGAAAAATACCACAGGAAGCTGAAAACATCATATAAATATTGCAAGGCACTGGACTGTCTCCCAGGGTGCTTTCCACAGACTGCCACATAGGCATTAGTTAGCAAGTCGGGGGGGAGGAGGGCAGGGAGGAAATTACCTACCTGTTTTATCTGAACTCATAATGCTTTCAATGGCCACGGCTTTTCACATAGGCTGCTTTTCGTAGGTGTCCTGAGGGTCAAGAACCACAAGTCATGTCCACCCTGGACCACCAGCAGTGTGGTTTTGCCAGAGTTACTATCCATCTTACACAGGTCCAGGCTGGAAAGCCATCTGCCATTCTATTTTGGTACAAGGAGTCACCTCAGTAAGACACTGCTCTTTTAATGTGCTGGCACTGGCTTTATAGTCTCATGCACCAGTTGCATGTAGATTTTTAACTGAACTTTTACAAGAGGAACATCTAGAAAGCATTGAAGAGTTGAACCAAAGGCAAACTGGATCACAGACACATAGCTGAGCAGATACATGCTATGACAGACTCCAGAATGGTGAGACAGCATGCAAGTATCATTACCAAAAGATTTGAGGTGAGAGGGAGACAAGAATTTCCCTCTACACTGTAAAAATGGATGCTGACAGCAGGTAAGATGGGCCAGTCACTTGCAGCATGTCTGTCTGCACTGAGCGCTCTCAAAAGGTCTCAAGGTCAGACTTGCTAAGGTGTGAAAGGCCTCAAGGTCAAAATAGGAAGACCTCACTTTGCAACTGATGGGAAGTACCAAGCTATCCTCTACTCTTACAGGAATTAGTAAAGGAATCTGGATATTAAGAGGGACAAACTGCAAATGATAGGCCTCGCAACAGAAAGGTAAGAAAAATATTTCTTTGAAAGGTAACAGAAAGGTATTTGGTAAGTCAGTGTTCTCCAGCCATACTACAAGGTGCAATTAGACTGCCAAAGCAGTGGAGCAGGAGGCCATGTCCAGCATGCTGAGAGCGCCCTCCTTCCACATGCAGACAAAATCCTCTCTGATGTCAAATATTAGGAAGTCTCTGAAGAAGGTCAGTTTGTCATGTCGTCTGAATGTATGCCTGACGCAGTAAAGGAAGCTTGTGAAATACCCTTACTCATCTGTACGCCTGGCATTTTAGCACCCCTGCCTTTGGGGTGTGCAGTTTTAGCCTCTCGATAGACCTGCCCAATGAGAGCTTGGTATGTGGACATTAAAGTTGGGGTGGGGTGGGGGAGAAAAAGATACTGAGCGGAATACCTGAGGAATGAGATGAGATTAGTAGGCTAAGAAAAGAGCGCAGCACTAGTAGAACACTTCTAGAATCATCAGTAGCACTTCACATGTCCTATTTGCATATGCACCGTAGAGTATGTTACTTTGAAATTTGGCTAAGGACATTCATGGCTGTGCAGTTTGGCCCCAAAATATTGTTTAATGCTGAAAATGGAAAAGTACCAGCAAGTTAAGCTAGCGATTGTGTACAGAAGAAAGTTATGTCAAAAGTCAAGAATTTCAGTCATGTCAACATCACAGAAATGGAGAGCAGCATCTGTGACAGCAAAAAATCAGCATTAATTGTGCATATGCATTGCAAAGAGGTTTTGGTACATGGCTGTACAAAATAAAAAAATGCAGATTTGTTTTGTGTACATGAGAAGTATTTTAGAGGTGACATGAAGTGGCATCCATCTATGATGCTTATCAGCCTGTGCTGTGTTCGTGCTGCCATAGTTGCCAGGAGGGATCTACTAAGGAAGCAAGCAAGGAAAACAGAATTGAAGTTAGAGGAGTAAGGTACAGCCAACAGCACATTCAAGAAGAGAAACAAGGGGCTGCAGAAAACATACATAGTGCAGAAGAGTTTGACTGGGGCAGGGAATAAGCTCTCAAGCCCAAACAGAGAGAAAGATGGGATATGTAGAACTGGAATATATAAAGCAGAAAAAAATATTTTAAACTGTCCCTTCCAGAAAGGGTATATTCTTGATGTTTATACAAATACCCTGAAAGTAAAGGTTCTCACTGTTTGGAATGCAGTAGACCAAGTGCATTTATATTTATTTTTGTGAAATGAACACAAACTAACATGAGATGACTTTCATCTCGGCACAAGGACTTATTTCTCTCATTTAAACCTATAAATGTTGAATATCTTTTAACTTAACTTATATCAAGGGTAATATCCATACCTTCTCAAAACACACAGGCCAGTTCAGAACTGCTCACTCTTGATAAGCAGCCAGGCTGAGTCCTGGACAACCAACCAGCCTAGGAAGTGATTTTGTGTTGGAGTATGACAGCTGCTTGTGCTTATACGCTTAGTGCTTCCTGCCATAGGCAATTTCTCCACTGCCACTTGGTCTTCCTCCGATTCCACTACCAAGCCCCAAAATGCTGTTAGTGAAGCAATTCTAATATCCCATTCTTTCACTAGGCCACTTTAACTTGTGGCCACTTGTGCTTACTCTATTCGTTTCAAATAGTTACTGTTTTTGATACACACCAACTGTGTTTATTTAAATATAGCTGTTCCCACATTAAGTCTTATTTTTATAGTGTTTTTCCTTTCACTGTAAGACATAAGTTGAACAAATGTTGTCTCCTTAAAATAATAACTGTCTTCAAAAAAAATCATAAAAGGCAGCCAATGTTTAACTTCCCTACCAATTATTTGGTGTTTCCCAGGTTGTCATCCTTTTATATGTCCTGTTTCTGAGGTAAAGCAAGCTGGAAAAAAACAGCATTTGGGATTTTTATTTATGTACTCCTAACATTCAACTCCAACCCCAGAATTTGATTAACTGAAATCTAATTTACTTCAAGTTTAATTAACTGAAGAACAAAGCACAAAGTATTTCCTTTCCTCTTGCACCTTTGGTTGATTGTTTATTGCCAAGCTGAAACAAATAACTAAGAACAGTTAAACCAAATAGAAGAACTCAGTGCAGTACTCAAGCAATACAACAGACCTGATTTGGCACAAGCAAGCTACCTGAAAAAGGAGGTGAATGTTTTAGATAAAACTTGGATCTGCAGAACTACTCAGACTGAACTCCATCGTTAAATTGTTTCATCAGTAACTGTCATTACAGTCTAAGCAGCACATAGCCCGATTTTGCACCATGTTAAGGTCTATTCTGTTCCTCATGGCTTTTTCCATGTTACCTCAATCCACACAGGCTGTATTTGAGGCTGCCTGAATTAAGACAAAATACAATTCTTCTTAACAATGACAATTCTCTCTTTTGTCAACAATGAAATAGTTATGAATCTGCATATGAAGTTAGGTGAACAAATTCAATGCAAGAAGAATGAAGACCACAATAAATCTGTCTCTTGTTCCATCACTCGAAGTCAGGAGGATCTTTGCCAACATCAGGAGCTAGGGTGGGGTAGATCCTGGAAACTGCATGGCAATATATAGAGATTATCTCTAGAAAGGCACAAATGGATTATAATGAATTGACTCTGAATCTGCTCTGGACATATGTACTGACAAAAAAAACCATAGTAGTCCCTCCAGATTGCTGCTGCCACCAGGTTGACAGAAATACAGAGAACAAAGCAGCTGTGGTCACTGTTCTCCTTGAGCAGGCAACATCCATAGCTGCTTTACATTCAGAGCTGGGTGTAGCTGAGCAGTATTGGGCATGAGCAAAGACAGATGGCAGTATAAGATTAATCAGCAATATAGACAAAAAGGCAGCCTAGAACTGGGCAGGAATGCAAGACCTCAAATGTTTACAATTTGAAGAGGTAAATTGCAGGACTTTTCTAAGTTTGATCATTAACCTTCAGTCATGCATATACTCATGTCATTCTCAGGATTGTACTTGTAAGAACACGGTATTAAAGGAAAACAGTTTCATACAGCTCTGACAGAAACCTAAGTCTCTCAGAGGGAGGACCCTGAGAGGAATTAAGCTGAAGCAGAAAACAAAGGAAGACATTTCCTAAATGTTTTGGAAGCAGGCAATATACGACCACCTTACATGAGGCAGAAAAGCTAATAATGCTGGTCCAGTCTTACACCCGTCTAGTCCATCATTAACTGGGAAATACTTTTGTTCTGATTTTACATTTCAGCATTCAAAAAGCTGCTGGATAATGAGGCCTGTGATCTATGTTGGAAGGTATTGCATGTTATTTATGAATATTTTTATTATTGTATCATCTAGAAACATTGTGGTGCTAAGCAACACAGGAACAGATTATCCATTTTAAGTTAGATTGTAAGGTCTTTAGGCAACCCTATCTTCACTAAAAATTAATATATATTTAAGAAATGTTTTTTGTGTCACAGTTCAGCTATGCTGGCTTGCATCAATTAGTTTGGATTCACTCATTCATGAGACAGATGTTTTCAAATGAAACTGAACTATGTGTAAACAATAGCTTAGGAAGAAAAACTTTCTTTTTGCTACAAACTTTACTCTGCCCTTAAATTACAACCAATTCTAAAATAGACAA